AGAGAGAGAGAGAGAGAGAGAGAGAGAGAGAGAGAGAGAGAGAGAGAGAGAGACTACATATATAGTAGATACATATGTGGATATAATATATATATATTGATATAGATAGATACATACACACTAAGGGAAAGCTAGTTGCTATGGGGTCTTTGTTGAGCTTGTTGTTATTAATGTTGTTGTTGTTGTTGTTGTTGTTGTTGTTGTTGTTGTTGTTGTTCTTATTGTTATTGTTCCTTTTTTTGTTGTGGCTATAGATGTATAGGTAGATATTCAGACGACTTGTTGAAACTTTATGATCTAAAGGAAGGAAATGTTACAATATTGACAATACTTGTCTTTATTGTTTACGGTTAAATAATGTATACATTAAAAAAATTCCGCATTTTCTCTTCAAGCCCCGGAAAAGTAGATACGATCTGACAGGCAAACAATAACGTGAACAAAACTGTACATATATGTCATATACCAGAGAGGGTTTTATTAAATCGCACTAAAAAAAAAAAAAAAAAGAAAAAAAAAAAGCACAAAAATATTTACGATAAGACCTCAACAGTCAATCTCCTCATCGCCTCTGCTTCCTTTTAGGTGCAGATTCTCATATATAATATAATATATGTGTATGTACATATTGGCAATGAATCTATCTCTATATTAGCTATATATGTACATGTGCGAATTTATGTTCAAGACAGCATTCATTCAAAATTTGAAAAGCTTTAATTAATATTAATTAACATTTATTTGTACTCGTATCTATGGTAGCGTATGCATATGTATATGTACGCGTGTGTTATGTTATCAAATCATCGACATTTGTTGCTCTTGGGCAAACATCAACATTTGCTTTAATAAATTTGCTTAATTCTTTTTTTTATTTTTTTTTTTTTGTTTTTTTTCTGTTTTTGTTTTTTCTTTTGCTATTGTTAAACAAACTGTCAAATGACAAACACATACAGATATGCGTTCGCATATCATTACTAATGCATATTTGCCAGCTTTAATTTGAGGGTTATGGAGCAATTTTTTTCTTTTTTCTTTTTTGTATTAAAAAAAAAAAAAAAAAAAAAGTAATAATAATAAAAATAAAAAAATAAAAAAAAAATAAAAGTAAAGAAAAATTGTTTTCAATCTTCTATGCATTGCCCCTTATTCGACAGCTGTCATGGCTGAGTAGTGGTAGTTAGTTGGTTGACTGACGGTTTGACTGAATCTATGGCTGGTTGCTTGCTTGCCATTACCGACTGTGCTGTGCTGGATGCGGTTGATGTTGCTGCATAATGATTGTGTATTAGCAACTAATAGTTCTGTTTGGATTTTAATAGTTACACACAATTAACATAATTGATTAGATTGTTTGCACAAGCATCGGAGTAAAGATATATGTGTATGTATATGACATACATATGTATATATACATATATATGTCATACAAAAGCACACAAACATCTATACACATATGCATATATATATATATATATATATATATATATATATATATATAAGTGCTCGGTTCGAATAACTAAGTATACGTGAACATAAAAATGCCTGAAGAGCAGTAAAGACTTACAAGCAACAGCTGGCACCATTACCACTACTACTTCTGCGACCTATTGCTAATATTATCTACTACTACTACTACTACTACTACTACTACTACTACTACTACTACTACTACTACTGCTACTGCTGTCATCACAACTACTGCTAGAACGTTTCGTTTACTACTATTATTACTCAACACCAACACTGAACGGTATTGTAAAGGGACTAATGTTTAATCTTTATATATATATATATATATATATATATATACAGTTATGTTAGGGTAGAATAAGTAGATAGGCAGGCCGGCAGGCTAGTAGACAGCAAGCAAGCTTTGACAACAACAAATGTGGCAAAGTAATGCTTTCATTATCGCATCAACTTTGTCATTAGTCTTGACAGTGATTTTACAGCATTAAATTGCTGCATACGCTTGTTATTTGTTATCCATTACCTGTTTGAAATGGTGAAAAACATGCAAAAAAAACAATCAATTTCTTAATAAAGTTGACTAAATCGGTGTTGTTGGTGTCAGTAACTAAGGTGTTTAACAATATTTTAAAAATGCGATAAGAAAAAGGTTAAATACAAAAAAAAAAAAAAAAAAATTATGATTATTTTGCTTAATACTTTTATTAAACAGTTTCCAGATTACTGCATATCCTGCATTTATGCTCTGAGTAAAATTTCTATTTTTTTTTTCAAAGGGTCATAGAAGACTTTTCTTTTGTTTTTATTTCCATTTTTTCTTTTTAAGATTCATCTATAACCTACTATCAGGCGAGCATTATCTCTTATATAAGTTCTTTTTCAAATTAAAAAATATATATTTGTTTGATCATTTCGTTAGATCTATAAATAAAGAAAAAATGAAGAATATATATTTCTACAACATGTCATCGTAATCGTTTCCACAAATTCTTGAAGATCAGTTGGTCTGCTTGGAAACTTTTTTCATTCAAATTAATTAGTTTTCGAAACCTAGACTTTATGGAAATAGAGATATCTATCTTTATTTATTGGATTCAATCTTTTAGTCTATATGTAAATCATATTTTCGGACTAAAACTGATGCAAAAAGAAAAAAAAATACACTTTTTACTTTCTTTAAATCGAATAGATTGCTAGACACCGTGTCAATCAAATACGGGAAAAATTGCAAAACAATTTGTTAAGCATATCGATTAGATGCTTAGGAGCAATAGTAAGTTAACTTCTTATATGATTATGCTAAGTTTTAAAATAACTTATTGGGAGGAATGTTGTGGTGTGAGTCTGTTTAGCAGGCAAATGCATACCCTAAGTGGATAGGGCGAAATTGATTTAGGACTTTATGCTGGTCGGGATTATATTTTCCCTGCTGCATCTCTGCGCATTTCTATCAAATCAAATACAAGGCAATCCTTCCCCCCTATGATAAAAAAGTAAAAATTCTTGTAAGCAGTAAGCGAACGAGTAAACTATGCGCCCTTAAAACTTGTACCAAAAATTTAATACACTGTTCGCAATCAATTGTGTCCCGCTTTACTTAGAGTAAATATGACAATTAGCCAATCAGGATTGCGAGTTCCTGCGTTGAGATAGACTAATATTTTGTTTTTGTTTTTTTCTTAAGTCTGTAGACTCATAGTAACGGAATACGGGTCATACTTTAAATTTCCAAAATACGATTCTGAAGAAGGCAATGAAAAATGCTAGATAGCGAAATTGTCTCATCAAGGTTATCGATCTCTCTCATTGGTTGTGATACGTGTGGGATAAGAAAGGCAAAGTAAGTCCATTTAATGGTGTTATTAAAAGGACACACGGGCGACGAAGAGGAAGAGGAAAAACTAAAACATTGTTTCGTTCAAAATAAAGCTAATAATATATGTCTGTTTCGGGTCTGTCCGTCGGCCTGTTAGCGCAACTTTACTAATCAAAAATAATCATAAAACGTGATTTAAAATTTATAAATGCCGTGTCGCTATTTATAATGCAAAAGACGAGATAAGATTAAGAATGAATGGCTGTACGACTGTAATCTTCGCCCACGGAAGTCTCATAATTATCAAACGCGCTTAGATGTGTATGTGCTTACGTTAATTCGTTAGTTAATTTATAACGCAACGCTATGATGTATCGCTTGCACTGCGCTTTGCTTTTAAGTAGGAAATCTAGATATTTCTCAAGTTTTTCTTCATGTTTTTTTTTCTTCTTTTTTCTTCTTTTTTCTGATTACTCATGATGATAGATAGACTTATGTATTTTAAAACAAAAAAAAGAGAGAAATTTTCTTCTTATTTTTTGCTAACAATAAGTGATGTTGGATTTTCGTTTCCCTTATGATTTTGTTTTTTTTTTTTTTCTATATTTTTGCAGGTTTGCCTTGTGAGCGGAAGTTGAAAGTGATGCGAATGATGTGCCACGTCACCGTGCTTAACAAAGTGCAAAATAAAAGTTTTCATTTATTTTAAAGATATTAAAAAAAAAAAAAAAAAAAAAAAAAAAAAATTCGAACAGAGTACAAAGGGCTTCATATCTTTCTCACTTTCTCTCTCTCTCTCTCACTCTGTCTCACTCTGTCTCACTCTCTCTCACACACTCTCACTCTCTCTCTCTCTCTCTCTCTCTCTCTCTCTCTCTCTCTCTCTCTCTCTTTATCTCTGTCTCTCTTTCGCTCTCGTTCTCGCTTTCTCTCATTCTGTCACTCTTTTCCTCTTCAATTTTGTGACTCTGATAAAAGTTTATACATGAACAGCTCACAGAATACAATAAAGAACGAAACTCCAAACATTTTGATAACTTTATAAATTTAGAAAGAAAAGAAAAAAAAAGAAGAAAAGAAAAGCAAAATATCTAGAAAGCATTTTTCAAACATCTTTTCTGTAAATATGTTTATTTGATGTGTTCGTGTGTGAACAGCATAAAAACAAAACAAAAAAAATAGGAGGAAAAAAAAAAAAAACTTATGGCGCCATTAAGAATATAAAATAACGCGTTTTGTGTTCTAGTGTGCGTAAGGGTGTTGAGTGCTCCCCCGTTGTAGTGCAGTAGAAGGTCAACATGTTGTTGTTGTTGCTCATGAATGATGTTGTTTTGCGCGATATATTGCCAGAGACTGGAGTAGTTGTCGGATTTGCTTTGCTTTGAGGTTTTGACTGTAAAAAAAGGAAAAAAAAAAAAGAAAAGTAATTTGAACGTGGCTCTCCTTCCATATTCAGTATTAACGCTCTGGCCGCACTTTCTACTTTCATCCCATGCCATCACCATCTACCACTTCAACACACTTAACCCGCAACGAACGTGTACGTGTTCAAAACTTTTAAACTGGAGCAAAGTATTTTAAAAACAAAACATGTGATTAATTGAAAAGAGCAAAAGCAAACGAAGAGAAATAAAATATAAATAAATAAATAAATAAGAAACGAAGTAAATAATAAAGTTTCTTCAACACCTAAAGTGGTCGTATCTTTATCATTATGATCATCATCGTCGTCATCAGCGTCATCATCGGCAGCAAGCATCGTGTCCTCATGGAATACAAATAATATTAAATCCATACAATTAGCATAAATAAAAACGACATTTTCCTAAAAATTAACAATAATTTCTAAAAAGAAAAGTAAATCCTCCGTCACAATAACACTAAACTTTCGCGTCATCCATTCGCTTAGCTAGAAATTAGAAAAATCGAAAAACAAAACAGCATAGAAAGCGGAAAACCATCATATATTTGTGAACCTGTTAACAGCGCCCGTCGCCATCTTTTACAAATAACTATAATACTAGAACATCTCATCACAACGATCTTCTAAGAACGCGAACTAAAAGCAAAAAAAAAAAGAAAACAAAAAAAACAAAATATACAAAAAAACAAACAAAAAAACACAAAAAACACAAACAAAAGAACAATTAAGCAAAAGATAGAAAATAAAAATAGAGAGAGAAAGAGAAAAAAGGACAAAAGTGAAAAAGAAAAAGGAAAGGAACAGGAAGATAAAGTGCGTTCTTGTTGTTCAAGAGGAATTTTCTCAACAATTTACCGCCGTCATGAGAATAACTGCCCCATTTAGGGCTCTTGTTATCGCCCACTTATTTTATTGTGTAGCGCCAGCCGGAGGTAAGTGTGCTTTATTATATTAAAGATAAGGGGCAAAAAAAAAAAAATAAATAAATAAATCAAATGTCCGAAATTATAGTTAACATTTTTTTTTCTTATTTTCCTCATCGAAATTATGATAACGTTTCGTATCTCTCCTATCTAAATCTTCTTTAATTACCTATGAAGGTTAGGGCTTTTTACAGCATATCTTCCTCGTCTTGCACTTTCATGGCAAGATATGAACAATCGGATCAATCAATTTATCGAAATAAAAAAACTAAATGATTTATGTCAATCGTTCAAAATTTTGTAACAAGCAGTGGAATTTTTAATACAGTTTTACAAAGAGTTATAAGTAAGTTTTTAATTATTAGATTGGCTGTCACGTCACCAACGCCCATATTGTAAATTTTTATATATGTTTCAAGCTTTAAGCATTAAAAATTCGACTTGCGGCCAACGTAAACTTTTCATTTCTTTTATCAAAGCATCGTAAAAGAACATAAACACACTTCCTATATTAAGCTAATTACTTCGTTTGTGAGGCTCGCAAAAAAAAAAAAACAAAAAGATAAAATGAAATGAAAACGAAAACGCAGATGAGGATATGTCCGCATTTGTTGTTTAAGTAAATGTATTTTGCCTGTTAAACTCTAAATAATGCGAGCAAAATTAATATCGAAATTTCACTATATAATCCTAAAGGCTGTTACCATTTCGAGGGACGTATCGTCATGCCTTTTTATTATTATGGCTTAAATCGTATTAACCGCGGTACAGTGCCGTATTAGAATTTTCACGTATATATATATATATATATATATAAATGAAGTCAATGAAACCTTTCTTTTTTTTTATTGCTTCATAGACATTTTAAGTCGTCTAGAATATGTGAGAAAAAATTTATTACCCGCAAAACATATTTAAGCTGTTATGCTGTTACTCCTTAACATCGTAATTAGTACAAAAACGGCAGCTCTCTAATGTCACGATGGCGACATCAAAAGTTTGTGCGGAGACAAGCAAAACCACGCTTTCAACGCTTTATGGTCAGGCCCAATAAATATATGAAAGCGTTAAAATATATATATATATATATATATATATATATATATATATATATATGTATGTGTGTGTGTGTACATACGATATATGTATAAATGTGTGTGCGTACCACTTCTCTTTACCCATTTCTTTCTGCTCATCGCTCTGAATGAGTGGTCATAATAAAAAAGGAAAAAAATATATATATGCCGGATATAATATGTTCGTTAAGAGTATATTCATATAGGGGTAAGGTTTGTCTCAACTATTTCTGTTATCTTAGAAGTAGATTCTTAAATTTCTCTCTGTAAAAGAGTGCATTGTACATTAATTCTTGCTTAATAAGGATGCTTAACGTTGTTTTATTCAGCGTCCGAAGACTGGTTTGATTGTAGTGGTATTCAAATCTAATTTAGAAAGAACTATATTGTCCTTGGCGAAGCCTAAGACTGGGATTTTTTTGTTTTTTTTTTTTTGTTTTTGCATTTGTCCATTTAACTGCCAGTCGCTTCTCCTACTGATTCTTCGTTCCTCTCTTTGCACGATCCTCCGCCATTTGATCATCAGAGAAAACGGAGATTTTAGCGCAGCGTAAAAGTACGTCTAATAAGTATATGGGGCGTACGTCGTTAACAGAAAAATTTAGAAATACACTATAGAAGGCCGTAGACCATCATTAAGAAAACATTACATCACCGGAAAGATATTCATATAATGACTTTTCAATATAAAGCATTATATGGCAGAGGTTCGAAAAAGTTGTTCGTTGCGAACCATTTGCAATGGCGTTTGTCCTTGAACCGAAACACCTCAGTGCACTAAATTTCATAAAAATATCTCCAAAATTTCGACCTTTGGATTGAACATAAAAAAACCAGCCAGACAGACGGACAGTCAAGCTTAAATCGATTTAGAAAGTGATTTTGATCTATTCAGAATCATTTCCCGAATCGCTTGTCTATATGTCTGAATCACCTTCTGAATCGATCGGTTTAATAAAAGTTAATCTATCTCAAGTCCTTAGATGTGTTGCATATATCCCCACAAGTGGATAACGGACATGAACCTGTTAAAAATGAGCTTAAATTCGTAAAATGTCAGTTGTTTGGCCAAGTAAGTCGAACATTTTCTTTCTTTTTTTTTTACTGACATGAAATCTATTTTTATATAAATTCTTATGTAAAGAACATTTTTCAGTTTCGCCATGCTAGGACCCTTAACATTTACATATATTTCCGTAGCCGATTTATGTGTAATGCATCAAATTGCAAAGCATTGTTAAAAGTTGTTTGGGAAAGAAAAGATTGACTTGATCTTAACTCGTTCGAAAAGGATTTTTATACAAATTTGAAATAACTTAGATTTTCTAGTTTAAACGGAGTAAGTAGCCTTTAACTAACCGACTATAGCTTGTTATTAACTACTTAGGAAAGCTGTGGTGTTATGGCGCTTACACGGCTCCATTAAGTAGGCCTGGCAGGCTGTCTTTGTTGGCTAAATTCGGATTTATCTTCACACCTTTTATAAATTAATATATATACGAAAATACATTAGTTTTATATAATATTTTACGGTATATTAAAAAAAAAAAAGATTGAATCTATTAACTCGATGGCTCTTCAATTTAATGGAGTGTCAACATGCAATTGTCGTTGGAATGGCGTTGACGCTAAGTACCTTATAGCTTGAGAATGCCTCGATTGCATTAAAGAGAAAATTGACAGGTTTTGTTAAAAGATGCTCCGCAATGCTTCATTGACAAGGTGAACAAAAGGTAGAAATTTATCAAATCCCAGTTTAAGGCAAACCTCTAATGTTGATCATCTCACTTCAATATGAGAATTTCATTAACTGTTTTACGATATATATGAACGACTGTAAATTGGTTAATCTCGAACATTTCTCCATAAGCTTTTCATTTAGAGACGAGAAATATTTGCATCAAGTTTGAAAAACAAAAAAAAGTCTCTTCACTGTTACGGAGCACAGTCATCGGTATATATTCCATCACTGGTTATTGACTATAATTTTTTTTTTTTTTTTTTTTTTTTTTTTTTGGTAAACTTATTGCAGCTGCGAGCACCACCGTCTAACCAAATTTTTTATATCAATTTAGAATGTGGGTGCGCTATTACTTAGCGAGTTTCGTTGCAACATTTTGAAAATTACAGTTTCTGGAAAATGGTCGAAAAAGTGGACCAATGCGAGCGTCAAAGCGCCCCAGTGTAACAAATTCCATCAAAATATCTCAAAAATTATGATCTGTGGATTTAACACAAATGTAAATGGACAGACATCAGACGAACGTGGGGACAGGCTTGATTTAACGAAGGTTTTATAGCGGATTTCCATACCATCTGCTTTCCTTTTCGCAATCTGTGATGCTTTCTTTAGTAAAGCTCTTCCCTATTGTCTCCCATGTAGTAGTCGCTTTGAACGCCATTGTAACACAGCCTACTAAAAGCGTTTTATGTTTTCACAACTTCTACGAGAAGAAAAGAAAAGGCATAATAATAGTCGGGAAAGCCACGAGGCACATATTTACATATGGAAAAAAAAAAGTATAAATAATTTTGAAAAATTTTTTAAAACGGCAAACCATAGATCCATTCCTCTAAAGATTAGGTACATGGATCCGATCCTGCTGCTACGAATTTAAATTTAAATCAAAATTCATTTAATTCGCATCTCTGTCACGAGATAACTACGAGCGCAGTCTTGAAAAGAAAAAGAAAAACTTTTATGTTTGAATAAATTGCTGGTATATCCCTTTCCGCCGCTAATCCCTTCTTTCAAGTTTTAGTTTGCTTGTCGTCTCGACAGAGATCATCTGTTGAGAACGAAACGCACTTTAAATTCCCAGTACCCATATACTGTTATGTATTTAGTTATGGTCAAAAGAATAAAAATTTTCGGGAACTTAAAAAGTTGCCACACCCACAATACTCATTTAATTTCGTTCTTTGCCGCTTAAGATCATTCGCAGTTATCCTTTATTGGATTAATGCAGCAAAATAAGCGGATATGTGCTTCATTCTTATTTCGATTATAAGTTTAAGATAACAAGAAAAAAAAAAAAAAAAAAAAAAAAAAAAAACAATAACATACAATTCCAGATATGTACTAAGGAAGGATAGGAACAGAGTAAAATTTTAACTTCATTTTTTCTTTTACAACAATTTGTTGCAGGTAGTTTGACCCTTTGCCCTCTAACTGTTAGTTGATGCAATTGGAAGCACCGCATTATGTACGGAATGACTGACCTACTATGGCAAATGCCTGCACACTTAAGTGTTCTTTCGTTTTTTATTGTTTTTTTTTTACAATTTGCATAAATTTGTTTCTAATTCATGGATGCGAATGGAATTTTATGAGCTTAGAATATGTAATTATAGAGCATTTTTACAATAAATCACATAAGTATGCACTTGCATCTCTATTCACTTCAATTAATAATAAATAATTCAAAATTGTTATTAAAACTTGCAAAAAAAAAAATAAAAATAAAAAAATAAATAAATAAATAAATAAATAAATAAATAAACAAAGAAAAAGTCGATGAGAAGTATGCCAGAATAAAGTTAAGCAAATAAGTAATGAAGAGAGTGCTCTGCTGTTTTTTCTTTTACTATTTAACTGAATTCTTTGGACGAAGGGCGATTCGACTTTTGATTTAGCAATATCACTGGGACATTCCAAGCAACTCTTTTAAAATGTAAATATTCTTGATCGATATTAGCAGGCAATGCCTATCTCTCTTGTTCTAACGATCAAACAATAACAAGTAATACACCTATAAGAGTAGGTCACCTGCTTTCAAAGGGAATTTTTGGTTAATCTTCTGACATCTACCTGCGTGGACATTGTCGTCCTAGCAGCATACCTACCTACTGTTGCATATTCACACACATACAAAAAGCCAGAAGCCTAAGCAAGTTTAAATGCTACGATCGTCTATCTAAAGGGAGATGGGA